AAATCGAAAAGTTGAGGGGGGGGGGGGGGTGCAAATCGCAAAGTTGAGGGGGGGGGGGTGCAAATCGAAAAGTTGAGGGGGGGAGGGGTGCAAATTGAAAATTTTCTCCCGAGGGGGGGGGGGGCGCCAAATAGAAAGTTTGTCCCCGGGCGCCGGGAAGGGTCGCTACGCCTCTGATCAAATTAAGTCTAATTTGATGTCAAGTTTGAAACTAATCGGTCAGTTGGAAATACTGAAATTTCGATCGGCAGTTTAGATTTATGACCGACAATTTAAAGACAGACAGGCAGAGGAAGCTAGTTAAATAAAAGCTTGTAAAAAGCTTCCGTCCCGTCTAAATAAAAGGAGGGGGTTGCTTTTTTCGTGAATAACTATTTATCAATGGGTTGCTACGCTTCTGCGCCCCCCCCCCCTCACCCACCCCCCCCACCCCACCCCCCCCAAATTGAGAAAAATGTCTAAAAGAAACACTGTACGGATTTCGTGTGTGTATTGATCTAATTTGTTGTTTCTAATTATCATTAGTATTGATCTAATTTCGTATTTCTAATTATCATTATGTATTGATCTAATTTCGTATTTCTAATTATCATTATGTATTGATCTAATTTCGTATTTCTAATTATCATTATGTATTGATCTAATTTCGTATTTCTAATTATCATTATGTATTGATCTAATTTCGTATTTCTAATTATCATTATGTATTGATCTAATTTCGTATTTCTAATTATCATTTTAGTTTCGGTCAGATGGTGGTCACCTAGTTCATCAAAAGTATTAAGGACACCAAGGGCATCCAGGGCACCAAGGGCACCAAGGCTATCCAGGGCACCAAGGACACCAAGGCTGTTCAGGTCATCCAGGGCACCAAGGTCATACAGGGCACCAAGGTTATTCAGGGCACCAAGGTCACCAAGGTTATTCAGGGCACAAAAAAGCCAAAAGCCAGTGAAGAGGGTAACTGGAACACATATTATCTTAAAAAAGCCTTTCGTGTCTGTTTCCCCCTTGAGACGACTTTCAGGCTAATGCAGATAAATTCTCTGGCTATCTGGAGTCTTCAGATCACTGTAGCAAGCTGAGGCGTCAGAAAATGTATAATAGCGGCAACCACACATGTGTCTTTGACATCACTCACGTCATCCCATCACGGGTCTACCTATGGCGCCCCCCGACAGCATCCACCTCTTCACCCTACTCACATGAAAATATGACGTCAGCCTTCATGCACCCGGGCTCAGTGTACGTACCTCGCTCATCTATTTCCACACGTGTCAACCTACGGCAACACTTCCGCTCAAGCTAACCCCACCCCAATGAGCGGCACGCCAACCGGCTCTATGTGGCCACCCGACAACCTGGCCATGGCCTACCCCCTCAGTCTGGCCCATCTAGATTCGGCTTCTCCCCTCCCCAGAGTGGCCAAATGATGAGCCCAGAGTCAAGCTACACCGGCACCCCGTTAGCAAGGACACCGTCTGCTCTAAACGCTAATCTTAACCCCTATTCCCCCTACATGCGGGCGGAGTTCAATGCTTGGAGCAACTTCAGCAACATGGCCTTACAGGGCTTCAAGCAAACAGTGGACCAGGGTAAGTTTCAATCTCAAACTCACAAAGCTTTCAATATATGTCACAAAGCTTCCAATATCTGTCACAAAGCTTCCAATATCTGCCACAAAGCTTCCAATATCTGTCACAAAGCTTCCAATATCTGCCACAAAGCTTTCAATATCTGTCACAAAGCTTCCAATATCTGTCACAAAGCTTCCAATATATGTCACAAAGCTTCCAATATATGTCACAAAGCTTCCAATATATGTCACAAAGCTTCCAATATCTGTCACAGAGCTTTCAATATCTGTCACAAAGCTTCCAATATCTGTCACAAAGCTTCCAATATATGTCACAAAGCTTCCAATATATGTCACAAAGCTTCCAATATCTGTCACAAAGCTTCCAATATCTGTCACAAAGCTTCCAATATCTGTCACAAAGCTTCCAATATATGTCACAAAGCTTCCAATATATGTCACAAAGCTTCCAATATCTGTCACAAAGCTTCCAATATCTGTCACAAAGCTTCCAATATCTGTCACAAAGCTTCCAATATATGTCACAAAGCTTCCAATATATGTCACAAAGCTTCCAATATATGTCACAAAGCTTCCAATATATGTCACAAAGCTTCCAATATCTGTCACAAAGCTTCCAATATCTGTCACAAAGCTTCCAATATCTGTCACAAAGCTTCCAATATAAGTCACAAAGCTTCCCATATCTGTCACAAAGCTTCCAATATATGTCACAAAGCTTCGAATATCTGTCACAAAGCTTCCAATATCTGTCACAAAGCTTCCAATATCTGTTACAAAGTCTCCAATATAAGTCACAAAGCTTCCCATATCTGTCACAAAGCTTCCAATATATGTCACAAAGCTTCCAATATCTGTCACAAAGCTTCCAATATCTGTCACAAAGCTTCCAATATCTGTCACAAAGCTTCCAATATAAGTCACAAAGCTTCCCATATCTGTCACAAAGCTTCCAATATATGTCACAAAGCTTCGAATATCTGTCACAAAGCTTCGAATATCTGTCACAAAGCTTCCAATATCTGTTACAAAGCCTCCAATATCTGTCACAAAGCATCCAATATCTTCCACAAAGCCTCCAATATCTGTCACAAAGCATCCAATATCTTCCACAAAGCTTCCAATATATGTCACAAAGCCTCCAATATCTGTCACAAAGCCTCCAATATATATTACAAAGCATCCAATATCTGTCACAAAGCATCCAATATCTGTCACAAAGCCTCCAATATATATCACAAAGCCTCCAATATATGTCACAAAGCCTATAATATCTTCCACAAAGCCTCCAATATATATCACAAAGCCTCCAATATATGTCACAAAGCTTCCAATATCTGTCATAAAGCTTCCAATATCTGTCACAAAGCTTCCAATATATGTCACAAAGCTTCCAATATCTGTCACAAAGCTTCCAATATATGTCACAAAGCTTGCAATATCTGTCACAAAGCTTCCAATATATGTCACAAAGCTTCCAATATATGTCACAAAGCTTCCAATATATGTCACAAAGCTTCCAATATCTGTCACAAAGCTTCCAATATATGTCACAAAGCTTCCAATATCTGTCACAAAGCTTCCAATATCTGTCACAAAGCTTCCAATATCTGTCACAAAGCTTCCAATATCTGTCACAAAGCTTCCAATATCTGTCACAAAGCTTCCAATATATGTCACAAAGCTTCCCATATCTGTCACAAAGCTTCCAATATATGTCACAAAGCTTCGAATATCTGTCACAAAGCTTCCAATATCTGTCACAAAGCTTCCAATATATGTCACAAAGCCTCCAATATCTGTCACAAAGCCTTCAATATATATTACAAAGCCTCCAATATCTGTCACAAAGCATCCAATATATATCACAAAGCCTCCACTATATGTCACAAAGCCTTCAATATATATTACAAAGCCTCCAATATCTGTCACAAAGCATCCAATATATATCACAAAGCCTCCACTATATGTCACAAAGCCTATAATATCTTCCACAAAGCCTCCAATATATATCACAAAGCCTCCAATATATGTCACAAAGCCTCCAATATCTGTCACAAAGCCTCCAATATATATCACAAAGCCTCCAATATATGTCACAAAGCCTCCAATATATATCACAAAGCCTCCAATATATATCACAAAGCCTCCAATATCTGTCACAAAGCATCCAATATCTTCCACAAAGCTTCCAATATATATCACAAAGCCTCCAATATCTGACACAAAGCTTCGAATATCTGTTGTAACGAGCTCCAATCAATCAGCCAGATAGTTGGCGAACGCTCCCGGATTCGTTTAACTGATTATACACAGATGGCGACAAGCCTAAATAAAAGAAAGCTAACACAATAGTTCACTAGGACTCGTACTTGATGTCTAGGGGAAACACTAGAGAAACTACTGATGCCAACAATACATTTAATCTGCATATAACTTTTAATGAGTGTACAAAGTCGTGGCAGAACACTAGATTTAAACAGGATAAAATAGATTTACAGAATGAACAAACCCCAAATATGATACACTATCACAGCTTTTAACACTTCAGAAAAATCACCACAGTATACACATCACTGCTATAAGCATATAGTATTACTTAACCACAAGTAATATAAGAATATGCTACTTAAACAACTTAGTACTACACAGCGACACACAGGGCTTATTCTCTCTCAAAGACGTCTGGTCAAAGAACTGCCCAGATATACGTGTGCCACCAAGACTCATAGATCACTCAAGTTAGCGGGCGAGCGTTTTCCAGCTCTGCCACTACCCCGCTTGAGCTACAGATTACTTAAGTGTCGAACCACTAGACCACTTAAGCTACAATTCTCGACCACACAGGCCACCACCGAGGGTCATGGGATCTAACCGGGAACCGAAACCCGGCCGCCGCCTTGAGCGAGCGTGATCCAGGCCACTGCGTAACAGGGCCACCCTAATCACTGAATCACAGTGATTCGAACCGAGGAATTGAACCTCCGTGGCGCGCCGAGATCCTAACCACTGTACCACATCCTGGTCCGTCTCAACCAAGCATCTCATGATGGAAAAATACTGAGTCTAAGACTTTCTTAAGACAGTGGAAAAAAACCAGTGATTATACCACAGACCATATATGGTAAGGTAACAAATGTAAAAATAAACATTACCAGACCTAAGTAGGTCAGACTGTCACAAAGCTTCCAATATATATCACAAAGCCTCCAATATATATCACAAAGCCTCCAATATCTGTCACAAAGCCTCCAACCTCTTTAATCACAAAGTCTTTTCAGCCAAAGAATCATTTCTAGAAAAACCAAACAGCTAACCTTTTGAACTCACCACTAACATCACCACTAACACCGCCACTAACACCGCCATTAACACCGCCACTAACATGGCGCTATGGTGCTGCCACGCCGCAACCCATCAAATTTCGCCAACCGTAGCCTAATGAAATGGATGCTAAATCCAATCGAAATGCTATTTTTAGCATTTCAAACATAGTATAGTTGTCATGGAAACAAGTATTATTATTTGAATTCAAGAAAACATGACTAAAATGTGACCTCCTCATTAAGTTAAGATAAAGATTGGGGTCAGGCTTAGGTCAGGGGTCAGGCTTAGGTCAGGGGTCAGGCTTAGGTCATGGGTCAGGCTTAGGTCAGGGTTCATGCTTAGGTCAGGGGTCAGGTTTAGGATGGGGGGGGGGGGGGTCAGGCTCAGGTCTGGGGTCAAGCTTAGGTCAGGGGCCAGGCTTAGGATGGGGGTCAAATTTAGTTGGGGGGGTCAGGCTAAGGTCAGGGGTCAGGCTTTGGCTGTGGTCGGGACTTTGTTCTGTTTGCTAGTTTGATGTTTGCTTATACATAAAAGGACAAGGTAGAATGACCGAATGGTGTTTTTAAAAAATTTAACAGTAGAATTTTAAAGTAACCTCAAAGTTGAAAGAAACAGCATAATGGCCACCATAAGGTAAAATGTTAACATGTTGGCTATTAGAAGGTTAAATGTTAACATGTTACCCACTAAAAGGTTCTAAAAGGTTAAATGTTAACATGTTGGCCTCTAAAAGGTTCTAAAAGGTTAAATGTTAACATGTTGGCCACTAAAAGGTTAAATGTTAACATGTTGGCCACTAAAAGGTTAAATGTTAATATGTTGGCCATTAGGAGGTTAAATGTTAACATGTTGGTCAGTAGGAGGTTAAATGTTAACATGTTGGCCACTAAAAGGTTAAATGTAAACATGTTGGCCATTAGGAGGTTAAATGTTAACATGTTGGCCACTAAAAGGTTAAATGTTAACATGTTGGCCACTAAAAGGTTGCACTGATTGCTTGGCCGCCCTGGTACCACCTCTGCTATGCCCGACATTTGCCAAATGGTTTCTTTCTCGCATTCCCCCGCCGCCAGATAACGGCCTGCTGCTATCAGGGTGGGTCCTAGCACCACGCAGCTAATTGCCCCACCCCAGAGTTCGTTCCCCGCCTAGGTAGGGCGTACCTGTCCTGTTGGCAGAGATAATAGATAGACGCCCTTCAGTTTAAAATTCGGATGGACTCAATCCTAACCTTAACCTTAATCCTAACCTTAACCCTAACCCTAACCTTAATCCTAATTCTAATCCTAGCCCTAACCGTAGCAGATTAAAGCTATAGACTGGAGAGTAAAGCCGTGGGCAGCCGTAAAGCGAACTATTGTTCCCAAATTTACGCCCATATTATGGCCCATAATGTCCAGTCGTCGCCACAAGTTGTGTAAAGGAAAGTTTTTTTTTTAAAGACATCAATCATTTTGTTTCTATTATATTCAGACGGCCAGGAGTGCTGGGTAGATCCCGAGGGTCGGGAGTGTGTCAACTGTGGAGCGGTGGCCACGCCCCTGTGGAGGCGGGACGGTACGGGCCACTACCTGTGTAATGCCTGTGGGCTGTACCACAAAATGAATGGACTGAACAGACCACTGGTAAAACCACATAGACGAGGAATGTTAGGGGTACGTAAGGTGGGGCGAGAGCTTGCATGCTGGGGGATGGGGGGGGGGGGGAGTGAGAGGTTGTATTCTGGGGGTGAGAGCTTGTATTCAGGGGGTGAGAGGTTGTATTCTGGGGGTGAGAGGTTGTATTCAGGGGGTGAGAGGTTGTATTCTGGGGGGGGGGAGTGAGAGGTTGCATGCTGGGGGGTGAGAGGTTGTATTCTGGGGGGGGGGGGGGGGAGTGAGAGGTTGCATGCTGGGGGGTGAGAGGTTGTATTCAGGGGGTGAGAGGTTGTATTCTGGGGGGGGGGGGAGTGAGAGGTTGCATGCTGGGGGGTGAGAGGTTGTATTCAGGGGGTGAGAGGTTGTATTCTGGGGGTGAGAGGTTGTATTCTGGGGGTGAGAGGTTGTATTCAGGGGGGGGGGGGAGTGAGAGGTTGCATGCTGGGGGGTGGGGGGGGAGTGAGAGCTTGTATTCTGGGGGTGAGAGGTTGTATTCTGGGGGGGGGGGGGGAAGGAGAGGTTGCATGCTGGGGGGTGGGGGGGGGGGGAGTGAGAGCTTGTATTCTGGGGGTGAGAGGTTGTATTCTGGGGGGGGGGGGGAGTGAGAGGTTGCATGCTGGGGGGTGAGAGGTTGTATTCAGGGGGTGAGAGGTTGTATTCTGGGGGTGAGAGGTTGTATTCTGGGGGTGAGAGGTTGTATTCAGGGGGTGAGAGGTTGTATTCTGGGGGTGAGAGGTTGTATTCAGGGGGTGAGAGGTTGTATTCTGGGGGGGGGGGGGAGTGAGAGGTTGCATGCTGGGGGGTGAGAGGTTGTATTCAGGGGGTGAGAGGTTGTATTCTGGGGGTGAGAGGTTGTATTCAGGGGGGGGGGAGTGAGAGGTTGCATGCTGGGGGGTGGGGGGGGGGAGTGAGAGCTTGTATTCTGGGGGTGAGAGGTTGTATTCTGGGGGGGGGAGTGAGAGGTTGCATGCTGGGGGGTGGGGGGGGGGGAGTGAGAGCTTGTATTCTGGGGGTGAGAGGTTGTATTCTGGGGGGGGGAGTGAGAGGTTGCATGCTGGGGGGTGAGAGGTTGTATTCAGGGGGTGAGAGGTTGTATTCTGGGGGTGAGAGGTTGTATTCTGGGGGTGAGAGGTTGTATTCTGGGGGTGAGAGGTTGTATTCTGGGGGGGGGGGGGGTGAGAGGTTGTATTCAGGGGGGGGGGGGTGAGAGGTTGTTCAGGGGGTGAGAGGTTGTATTCTGGGGGGGGGGGTGAGAGGTTGTATTCAGGGGGTGAGAGGTTGTATTCTGGGGGTGAGAGGTTGTATTCAGGGGGTGAGAGGTTGTAATCTGGGGGTGAGAGGTTGTATTCTGGGGGTGAGAGGTTGTATTCTGGGGGGGGGGGGGGGAGAGGTTGTATTCTGGGGGTGAGAGGTTGTATTCTGGGGGGGGGGTGAGAGGTTGTATTCTGGGGGTGAGAGGTTGTATTCTGGGGGTGAGAGGTTGTATTCTGGGGGTGAGAGGTTGTATTCTGGGGGTGAGAGGTTGTATTCAGGGGGTGAGAGGTTGTATTCAGGGGGGGGGGGGGTGAGAGGTTGTATTCTGGGGGTGAGAGGTTGTATTCAGGGGGGGGGGGGGGGTGAGAGGTTGTATTCAGGGGGGGGGGGGTGAGAGGTTGTATTCAGGGGGTGAGAGGTTGTATTCAGGGGGGGGGGGTGAGAGGTTGTATTCAGGGGGGGGTGAGAGCTTGTATTCAGGGGGTGAGAGGTTGTATTCTGGGGGTGAGAGGTTGTATTCAGGGGGGGGGGGGTGAGAGGTTGTATTCTGGGGGTGAGAGGTTGTATTCTGGGGGTGAGAGGTTGTATTCTGGGGGTGAGAGGTTGTATTCTGGGGGGGGGGGGTGTGAGGTTGTATTCAGGGGGGGGGTGAGAGGTTGTATTCAGGGGGGGGGGGGGGGGGTGAGAGGTTGTATTCTGGGAGTGAGAGGTTGTATTCTGGGGGTGAGAGGTTGTATTCAGGGGGTGAGAGGTTGTATTCTGGGGGTGAGAGCTTGTATTCTGGGGGTGAGAGGTTGTATTCTGGGGGTGAGAGGTTGTATTCAGGGGGTGAGAGGTTGTATTCAGGGGGGGGGGGGGTGAGAGGTTGTATTCAGGGGGGGGGTGAGAGGTTGTATTCTGGGGGTGAGAGGTTGTATGCTGGGGTGAGAGGTTGTATTCAGGGGGGGGGAGTGAGAGCTTGTATTCTGGGGGTGAGAGCTTGTATTCTGGGGGTGAGAGGTTGTATTCAGGGGGTGAGAGGTTGTATGTTGGGGGGTGGGGGGGAGTGAGAGGTTGAATGCTGGGGGGTGGGGGGGGGGAGTGAGAGGTTGCATGCTGGGGGGTGAGAGGTTGTATTAAGGGGGGGGGAGTGAGAGGTTGCATGTGTTGAGGGGGGGGGGGAGTGAGAGGTTGCATGTGTTGAGGGGGGGGGGGGGAGTGAGAGGTTGCATGCTAGGCGGGGGGGGGGGGGGTGAGAGGTTGTACAGTAGCGTAGAGAGAGGGGGGTGCGGGGGGGGGGGACATATGTCCCCGGGCGCCGACCTTAAGGGGCGCCAAAATGGGTTGGAAAAATAA